GGCCAATGCCGCTCTATAAAGTTCACAACTTTGTCCCTTAAGCAGCCCATGGTTTTCCTCACAGGAGAGTAACAGCCCTTCTTGGATTGTAACCATATCCATGCTTGCTTAAACAACCCGATATCTTCCATCATAAATAAACAGCTAAAATCAATAAGATACACTGCAATTCCGCCCCCCAGAAAAAAAAAGCAAAAAAAGACCAAAATTCTACTTATACTCCATCCACAACAGACATCCGTCGATCCCGGAAAAGCACATATCTACATTGTGGCAAACTGATACCGCCAAGAAAACCCATACAGTGCCACTAATACAATCTGATCCTCCAATACCATGAAATCCCCCTTACTTAACAAGCAAGAACTACAGAAGCAAACCCGGCATTTCTTTAACAGCAAGTGGCAAAAACCAGGGAGGAGATCAGGGAGATCCCATTTTCACGGGGTTAAAGCTGCAGCATTAAATGAACCCAGAAGCAGAAAACACAGAAAGAAACCTATACAGGCATATGAATTGCTTCACCAATACGTCTCTGGAAAGAAAAAAAAGCGCTCCTTTTACTCCGACAATCACAAGTCATCTGCTTTGGCCAAGACCACTACCACACACATCTTGCGACGCATCACGGCTCAGAGCCGAAACCCACAAATCCAAGAAATACGGATGCGCATAAGAGACACACACACAAGTGTAAAGATAAAACAATTCTTCCGAATCTTGTGATCTTTTTGACCCGTGATTTTTTCTTTCTTTCTTTCTTTGGCAGAAACCCTAAGCTAGGCTTGGCTTGGCTTTTTTCCCCACCCAGATGGTGCTTGTAGAAATGCTAATGATAACATTGTGAAAGGTTTCGAAAAGGGGAAAAAAAGGAATAATGGAGAGGGGAGGGTGGGGGGGATTGATTACATATGGAGTGATGACAATTGAGAAATATAGCACCACCCCTACTACACTTCCAAACCCCTTCCCCCAATTACGGCGGAGGTAACTGTGTTTATGGTTTGGGATTGCCAACAAATGTTACTCTATTTATGACTCTTTGTGCAAATATGAACAACCTTTAATACCTCCATAGGCGCGTTTGCTTAAATCTGAATTGTATTTTGGCCAACAAGTTTATGTCTGTCTATATTCATCAAATACATTTATTTTATTATTAATTACTTACTCAATATAAATTTTAGAATTTTTTATAATTCATGTATAATAGTTCAATTCACTAACCTCTCTTAAATAAAAAATAATAGTCTTTTAATAAATCAGTATGATGGATCTATTAATTATGCAACAATATCTCTATTACTCCGTATGTTTTGTATGTAAATATGGTGAGTCGTGATTTTATTTTAAACATTGAAAAAAGAGTTCAATGTGTTTTTTTTATTTTTTTAAGAAAAAAAAATTCTTGATATTTTATCAGGTCCGGATGGGCAGTCCGGCCCGTTAAGATGGACGGGTATGGGTAAAGAGTTTAGCCCATTAAATCTGGGCCGGGTCAGGACTGTCCATGTAAATGGGCTAATAATTTGCACATGTCTAAATTCTTACCATATTTGAACTCGATACCCTCATTTATTATAAATCATTCAAATAAAAGATTTTCATATTTTCAAAATTTGGAAAATATCAATATGGGAATTTGATATTTCTCCCTACTATTGATCATCCATTCCACCGCCAACCACTCCCCCGTTGCCAGCGATCCCCGCCTATCATTAATTAAATTATAATTTTTAATTTTTCTAAATTCGTATTATTTCTCCCAGATTTCAAAATTCGTATAATATCATTATCTTCAATACTCACCAAACATGCTCTTAAGTTGATATCATTAAGTTATTTTTGCACAAACCGCAATCGCGGAAATTAGTGGTTTCAACATGGCTATCATCCTCTTAACATAACTCATACAATAAGATTGAAAAAAAATATTTTCATTTTTGTTGAGAATGTTACTTTTTGTAATTTAGCTTTTTAAAACTATAAAGTTATCTATGAAAAATGTTCGCCAAGCATATTTAGGGGTTGTTTGTTGATATTCAGAGAATTGATATTATATAGATTTTGAAACCTGAATCAAATAATATGGGTTGTGAAGTGTGAAATGAATGTGAATAAATATATTGCAATTGATGGGATGTGGTCTGTATTTCTTAAATTCATAAAATATCAAAATATTTCATTTGGAATAGTTATGATTTCGGGGATATCAAATTTGAATTATGTTAAGATTTCACCAAACACCCAAAAAAGAGTTTTGATATCTAAACATATCAAAAGTTATCTCATGCATTCACCTGATACAATATAAATAATTGTTTGACTTCATTTACCTATTTTTTTTAAAAAAATGTCATGTTGTGCCAAACACCCCAATAATTTTAACTGTTTAAAAATGGAAACAAGTTGATAAACACAATAAAAATTTTAGTAGATGTTATTCTAAATGTGCATCATTTAAGATGATAAGATGATAAGAGTTATACTCTAACCCCTAGGATCTCGAATACCAGTATGGATAGTAGATGTTATTCTAATTGTGTATCATTTAAGATAATGGCCTTGTTTGGATATTGGCTGTCAGCTGTTGGCAGTTTGTGTCATCTGTTCTGAATGGATGTTTAGTTTAGCTGGTTTGACCGGCAATACACACACACACACATACATACACACACACACATGATATTTATTTTTTTCATTTTTTACTTTCATTCAATTCATAAGAAATTATTAATATACAACTTTTTAATAATTTTTACTTTCTATTTTCTCATTTCATTTTTTTTTGAAATTTTGAAATTTTAAATTTTTTTTTTTAGTATTTAATTTTTTAACTTTTATTTTTATTTTTTATATGTATTATAAAATATCTTTCAAGAAAATTGATTTTAAAAAAATTAATTATTCTAACAGCCAAGTCCAAATGTTACTTCCCTTGGCATTTCAGATTTTGAATTTTCGGATCAAAATGCCAAGTAAAAAAGTCACTAGCCAAACAATGATATTGACGGTTCGCTTAGTCAAAAAAGTCAAAATCAGTCAAAGATGTCAAAAGCTATCCGAAAAGCTTTTTTCCAAAGACGGCCAATATATCTCATTGTTAGAGATTATTTTTCAAAATATTTTTGCTAAAAATAACATCATATTGAATACTACGTATATTTTTTCAAACGCTAAAATTAATGTCAAACACAATAAAAGCAGACCAATTCTTGGATAGGGATTTTTTTTAAAAAAATGTTTAATTAATTAGATATCAAATTGATTGTTGATTTTTTCATTAATGTCTGATTTTATATTCTTGGAGGAAATCTCTTTTTATAACCCTTCATATAACAAATCTTATCACAATAATAATGCCCTAAAAAGTTGCATTATGGCATTAACTTTTTTTACCACATAATTTTTTTTAAAGGTCACTGTTTTCACATAAATTTCACACTTTCATTTTCTAATGCAACAATAAATTCCATATTTCTAGCATTTTTCAAGGATAGTAAGTGTCACATAAATCACATTATATTTTTATTTATTTTCTTACTCCGTACAATATAGTATCTGCACTATTTTATTAACATGTTGAAACACATAGAATTGACTCTCCCGCTGTATTTGAACTTGGGCAAAACCACTCAAAGCCAAAAAGAAATTCATTTCAAGTTTCTTTTATTTAAATAGATGTTGGATTCAAGTCAAATATTCTCATAGGATACTCAAGCAAAATGTTCTCCGTAGTGTCTTTTCAATTGGGACTATTTGTTTGTTTGTTTATTCTACAAACCTTTTGAAATGTTCAAATATGTATTTGTTTTTTATTAATTTTCATATCTTTTCAATCTTATAAATTTAACTTCTAATTGCAAGAATAAGGCTTGAACGTTGGATGTGGAGAAATTTAAAGTGACTTCCATACACCGACATGCTTTCACAAATATGTACTACAAATTTGTTTATTTATTCTGCGTCTACATTTAAAATAGCCATCTTTTTTGAAATAACATTTACTCACTTTTTTCGGACGATTTCACCCTAAAGTCTATTGGTTTTATCATAAAGGAAAGGATAAATTTTTAAGTGGACGTAAGGTTAATTCAAGAACTAATTGATCTTGTTGATGGAATGATAACAATATTTTTTTATTAATTTTTTTATAAGAAAAGATCGTACATTGTTATAGATTTAAAATTTGCGGAGAAAAAAATTTAACTATGTTAGAGGTACACCAAAAAATGTACCTCAAAGTGTACATCAAAAGTATGTACCAACATTTTAATGGTTCACAATGGTACAATATACTTGTCCGATAAATTTTTTTTAGAGGAATTTACTTAAATAACACTAAAACATAATGACTTTCCCTAAATAGCACCGCATGTGTTTTTCTTCCCAATATAGCATTTTAGTCATTATGTATTAGTCATTATTCAAGTAAATATTCATCATCACTGAACATTATGGTATTTATGGACATTATTAAGTGCTATTTAGAGAATAAAATAGTTTAAGTACTACTTAAGAAAATGACTTAAGTTTTAGTGCTATTTAGTGCAAATTTTTACACTAGAATTTGGTGCATGAGAGTGTACACATGTGATGTACAATTTGGAATACAAATTTTGGTGTATAAGTATCTTAATTCAAAACAGATATTCATATAAGCTGGTTTCGAGTACGGAAAAGATTTATACATATAGGCTTTGTCTGAAAACAACGTTTTCAATTAGCGTTAGCATTTTGAATAAGAAATTATTGGTATAGATCAACTCTGAAAACGCTGACACTGAAAGCTACTGTTAGATAGCCTTTTCAAAACGCTAACATTAATCTCTCTAACGCTGATGCAAACGTGCCCATAGTATATACTCTCCAACGGGGCCTCCTCATTCAATTTTCAAGCCTAGAACTAAAACAAGAATTAAGCCCTATTAAACGGATGGGTTCCGCTGCCACCCGATACCCTTGCCAATACGGACACCGTGCGGCCTTAACGAGCGGGTAAAATTTGGCTCGATTTAATTTTGACTCAAAACTCTGTCCAAAAACAAATCAATGACTTAAGGCAATTCATAGGAAGGAAAACTGCGGGACAAAGACTTGTCTTTGATTTTGTACAAATAGAGAGGAGCAAGTCTGTGACAATAGTCACTCAACACCTACAGTCACTGCATAAACACAGCAACTCTAAATCACATCATATGCGCCACATCATGTCCCGATACGAAAGTATCAGAACAGTTTAAGGTAAAATAACCAAAACTAGAGATCTAGTACTAACGAACAGCGTCCGGAGGGAATGTTTGTTCAAGTATTCTTTCATACGAGACCGATTTCCATTAATCTTGTCGAACTATGGATGGATCATGTTGAACTGGAACCTAGACAGCTGCTGTGGAATTGTGGATATCACTGGTCCATATCTCTGTTGCCAATTGAATTGAAAGAGAGAAGAGATTGTAAGCATACACCACAAACGTTGGGTAATTGGTCAAACTCTGAGCTTGGGATCCATGTCATTGATATATATATACACAAGAATGTGGTGTTCAAATGATAAGTGCATATTAGAATTGAAATGAGAATTGATGAGATGATTCATGATGCGGGGGTTCAAAAGAACTTAAAAAACGACAATTTGGAAGCATTTCATCCAAATTTTACTGAAAAGTAATAACTACGCAAAGTGGCAAAACAAGCTATATGGAGGGGGGGGCCGGGGGGGTCTGTATCTTGGTAATTCTGTAATACCTGAACATTGTCGTATAGTTCAAACAGCGGCACAGCAAGGAGTTTCAAGTTTTTGGGGACAGCAAAATATTCCCTCTCAGAGAGATGAACCACATAGAGCTTTTTGCACTCCTGAACCAACATCAAAGAACAAATACAACATGCTGAGTCAACTATGAATATTTTTAAATGAGAGGAAGTTCCAAATCACCAACACAGCATGATAGCACTAGCATGATTATGACTGAAGTGTACCTTGGGCTTTGTTATGTGTGGGGGGCAATATGGATACATTATTGTTTCAAAATTTGGCCTCCACCAGACGGCCACACATTCACCAATCTGCATTTGTTTCACAAATGAATTTAATCACTGACCCAATTGGTACAAAAAACTGACAAATGAACCATACAGCCTTTTACTTGAAACTTCATTGTATTTTTAGCATAAAACTTGTTTCTATTTTATTTCACAAGTGCTACCAAAGTGCTAATCATGCGCCTTGATTTATATGCTAGTCATGCAAGATGAATTATGACATGGAAAAAGCAGATATCTTAATTATCAAGCCATCACTGTCTCATGATCACACCACCATCCCAACTAATTGGAATGAATGTGCTAATTGTAATCATAAATAGTATATGAAGTCTAATATAATGTGTTGACAGCTTACCTGCCAATCTGGCTGAACAGTAGAAGAATTAGCTGCAAGTTTGCTGGAGAGTTTCCTTTTCAAACCATCAATTTCTGCAAAATTTTTATACAAGGGTGATAATTAAAAAAACAGTAGGCAGGGGCAGATTAAATCTAAAATTGGAAAACAATAAATTTATATTAAAAATTTTAAATATGGTCAGTACAGGAATAAGTAATACAAGTAACTTTTAAAGACATAGAGAGAGATCAAGCAGAATAAGAAAAAAGAAACAAACCATTCTCTCCAGGCTTCAAACGTCCACCAGGAAGTTTGCAAAATGTGTTCCCAATTTGAAGAAGAAGGATATGAGGATGATTATGCTCTTGCACCTGAATGTTATATCACACAGCTTATAGTCATCATCTAACAATACAACGTAATTGATAATGCGGGATCTGATCTAACCATATATTAGTGAGCAAGACAAAATTTTATCTAGACAAGGCTAACCCAGCCTCACTTTCCTTAGCAAATAAAATAAAATAAAAAAGGAATTTGGAATGTAATCCACACCACACACGAGTGACGAGTTACTTTGGAAACGGAGTGAAACCACGGAAGAAATATAAGGCAAGAACATAATAAGGGATTCCATTGTGTTACCCATTTCCCCATCAAACAAAAATCATGCTTGACGTAATCGATCTTGTCCATTGACAGTGGAGCTAAAATACTCATATTTTACAATGTGTTAGCTTCAAGTAAATAACGGACTAAATCAATATGGATCATTAAACATCTGTAACTTCTTATTTTATATGAAGCTTTGGGTAGTAAATGAATAATGCATCAAGGGTCTAATGAAAAGAGACTCTAAGTTGAGATTACACGGTACATCTTGACCCCATAGGCCACAACTAAGTTGAGATTGTTGTTGTTGTTGTTGTTAAAGGAAATTGATTTCATATAAGAAAACAATGTTAATGGATAACTAATAGTTTTCTACCCATGAAGATTAATCTAGCAAAACAAATCAAACATCCATCTTTTTTAAAGTTCAAACATTACCCAAGGAAAAAGCTTCTACCATTTTAGACACAAAACTCTCCATGAAAACAGATCAAGCTTTCGATAATTGAATGTAGCTCAAAAATCAATAAAGCCTCCAACTCATAAGATCTGGACCTTCAATACCACTAAATCATCAAAAAGATATACGAGTAGCAAATTATTGTTTATCAAAAGTGAAAAGGCATACCAATAAGATTGCTTCAACGCTAGTCCTCATTCCCTCCTTCATGTAACTGCAGCTCATATAAACAGCGAATTAGCCATCTCAACCTAACAAATTCTGATTATTGACTGCGAAATCTAGAATAGAAACACCACAGCATAACTCATTTCTATTTCCGCGTTAAAACAAAGCATGTATGGTTTATCTAGGATTCTAGGGTTTTTTCTTCTCCGATAACTGCGATCTCCCAATAATCAATGAGAACACAAGTTCACAAAAGAATTTAAGCAAGAATATGATATAAGAAAAGGATACAATGTTAGATGTATAATTAAAAAATTATAATTAAAAAAAGGAAAAACATACTTGACTTTCATCCGAGCAAGGCGATCGGCGACGGAGGTGTCCTTTTCCATCTTCGGCTCTTTGGTGCCGAAGGTATAGCTGGACAAAGGGTAAGTGTTCACCACCGATGACGTCAACATCTCTGTCACTGTTCTCCTCTGTTACCGGCGAGATTTTCAGCTCTGCAGCTCCGTTGCTATGGCCGGGCAGGAGGAGGACGAAGCAATCTGGTATTCATTTCTAGGCCGTCGTGTGAATGGGCTTCAATCTAGTGATCACTTCTTTAGGCCCGTTTAGCTTTAAATAATGGTCCATTTTCATCTTTCTTTTTCTTTTTTCTTTTTTTGAACAAGCATTTTCATCATTTTAGAATAAGACTTTTCATAAACACTACAATTAACATTCCCTCAAAACAAAACAAAACAAAACATACACATAAAAACAATTAACACCCAAGAATTCATAGAAAGTTTGATGGTTTATTTCAAGAAAGTTATCATGGTTTTGAAGGATGCATGATAACATTTTTTAAGCAATAATAAATGTTGAATTGAAGATTACAAGAAATTCTAATAAAACATTTTTAAAACTAGACAAGTCTTAATTAACATTGTTTCATGTACAGTAGTAGGATTCTTTTTTAGTTTCATTCATTATAATGTCAACGAGTATAATATTAAATTGTGTTTATGTATGAACCTGACCGCGTTAAACATATTAAGCTCGTTTAGTTTAGGAGTTTGCTTCAGCTTAATAACTTGTGAAACGATGCAAATTATATGGCACATATATGAGAGCACCCAAAATAATTCAAACAAAAGTCATCCACCTCTATGAAAATATTCTCTGTATATATTGAGGAGTACTCCTTACTTAACAAGTGTGGAAAAAAATTAAATTAAAAGATTATTTTTTTGGTACATACTTATCACTGAATTTTTTTGGAGACAATTGTACAAAGTATAAAAATGAAGAAGAATGTTATTACACCTTGGTTCAAATGACATTGAGAACCAATGTCATGGGATGACCCGGGGAGGCTCCGGTGCCCCGTTCGTAAAATTGACGGTTCCAATCCCTCCTAACCCCCCCCGGTAAACCCCCCACCACGCCCCGACCCGAACGCCCCCCCCCCCCCCACCTCATTCAATTGCACCCCCCAAGTTGATTTTGATTTTGGAGTCAAAATTTGACTCCAAAATCAAAATCAACTTGGGGAGTGCAATTGAAGGGGGTGGGGGGCGCGTTCGGGTCGGGGCGTGGTGGGGGAGTTTACCGGGGGATTAGGGGGTAGAAACCGTCAATTTTACGAACGGGGCACCGGAACATTCCCGGATCATCCCATGACATTGGTTCTCAATGTCATTTGAACCAGCCTCAGCTTAAATTTTTTGCAGCCCATGGAAAAATGTAGAGCCAAAATTTACTCTTCAATGTCGTTTTTTACTTCAAATGAATTATTGTGCATGTGTCAATAATGCATGAGGCCGCCGGCCTTTGGCCGTTTTCCGGCAAACACTCTCAAAACTCCGTCCGAACCGCCGGCAACAAGCGTGCATTGACCATCATCTCCCCCCTGCATCCAGCAAACGCTGCTAACGAACCCGTATTCCTCCCCGGGTCGACCCGTGGACTCGCACCCGTATACCCATATGGGCTCCCCCCACCTGGTGTCATACACGAAGACCCGGTTGTCTTCCGACCCGCAACTGATCAACCCGCCACTGTTCCAAACGGACAGGCCCACGAACCGCGTGCTGTTCACGTGCCCTTTGTAGGTCCTCACTGGGGTGCAATCCCCTGTGTCCCACTTTATGATGCACCCGTCTACGCTCGACGTCAGGACCGTCCGATCGCTGAGGAATCTGACGTACGTCACCGCCTTCAGATGCCCGTCCAGCACGAAGATCGGGTCGCCCGTTTTCCGGACGTCGTAGGCGTAGGTCTTCCGGTCGGCGCAGCCGGCGGCGACGGTGGGGCTCGACGGGTCGAACTGCACGCAGCAGACGGGGCTCCCCGCCTTGCTGGGCTGCACCGCCGCGAGGCATTTCCCGTTCTGGCAGCGCGGGTCCCACGTCTGCATCGTCCCGTCGTCCGACCCGGATGCGCCGATGACCGGGTTGGAACACGAGTAGTCCACGCTCCAGACCCGTCTGCCGCCGTGCTCGTCGCGCTCGAAAACCGGGACCCGCCTCTCTAGGTCGTACTCCGTCACCACGCCGTCGTAGTCTCCCGACCCGATGACCCGACTGTTGGACCCGGGTTTCCATCGGAGGCTGCTGAGCTTCGCCGGCGTGCAGATATAGTAGTCGGGCAATCCGGCGCCGTCATCCGGGGATCCATCTCGAGTGGGGAGCAAAGTGTTAACATTGTAAACTCTTATTTTCCGGGAAATCCCGCCGGTGGCCAAGAAGTCGTTAGAAGGGTCAAACTCTAAGACGCCGAGAGCGTCGGAAGCATTGCCGGCGACGGGATTGGAAGGGACTACGGCGGAGACGCGAAAATCCCAGTCGCAGCGGGCTCTTTCTACGGCTTCTGATGAGGTCGGGGAAAATGTTTTCATAGCCCCCATATAGGGTCGATCACAGCGGGAGTATTTCCTAGTGGGGAGGGAGGACTTTCATTTCATGTGGAAGTGGTGGTGGAGGAGAAAATAAGGAGAGGAATTGATGAATGCAATGGAATTTGATTGGAGCTTCTCATCCAATATGGATGGTCCAAATAGATCCACTTGACCTTTTTGTCTCCTCATTTTGAGGGCCACAAATAAAAAATTCTCCCACACCCCCTCATTAAATTTATGATCCCATGTATTCTAAGCATACTTTTGAGAATGGGATCGTGATCAAATCCGTCAAGATACTGATTCATTGGTCTATTAATTGAATCAATAGCTTAACTAATCAAACTGGTAGTTTAAGCATATTTTAAAAATTATATAAATAATTATGTGTATGTTTATATATATATATATATATATATATATATATATATATATATATATATATATATATATATATAGCTTAATATATTACATTTGAACACTTTGAATCTGATTCCCTCCGTGCTGAACAAAGAAACCTATTTATACAGTTAAATGACGCTCATTGCCTTGATCGCAGAGCTCCGCAATTCCTTAGAAGTTGACCTCAAGACGGAGAAGGTGGCTTCAGGGATACTGAAGAATTATTATTTTCTATATTATTAACGGAGGGCTAAGCCTCGTATATATAATACAGGAAGATCCTAACTACGGAAAGATTCCTATACAAGTAAACTACCATGTATACAATGATTACACAATTAATATTAAATATATACATACTATATTTAACATGCGCCCAACTACGTGACCGGAGACGGTCGAACGCCTAGGCTGTGTCTGAAGTCAGAGAATAAGAGAGACGGGAGCCCTTTGGTGAAGATATCAGCATACTGAGAGGAGGAGGGGACATGTAGGACCCGAACGTGACCAAGGGCCACTTTGTCTCTAACAAAGTGAATGTCGACTTCAACATGCTTGGTGCGCTGGTGCTGAACGGGATTAGACGAGAGATATACAGCACTGACATTATCACAGAATACCAGAGTAGCGCGTCGAAGAGGTTGATGAAGCTCAAGGAGAAGATTTCTGAGCCAGCTAGTCTCTGCCACCGCATTCGCTACAGCGCGATACTCTGCCTCGGCACTGGAGCGAGATGTAGTAGCCTGTCTCTTGGAAGACCAGGAAATGAGATTGTCCCCAAGAAAGACACAATACCCTGAAGTAGAGCGACGGGTGTCAGGGCAACCTGCCCAATCAGCATCCGAATAAGCCTGTAAGGAATCTGTGCTGGTGCGGTGAAGAGTGATGCCATGGGTAGCAGTGCCATGGATGTAACGCGGGACTCTTTTCATTGCTGTGAGATGAGAGCTGCGTGGGGCATGGAGATGAAGACAGAGCTGTTGTACTACATAGGTAAGATCAGGACGTGTGAAAGTCAGATACTGTAGGGCACCAACAATAGATCTGTAAACGGCGGGGTCCGGAAGAAGTGTACCGGACGTGACTGATAGCTTTGCCTTGGTGTCGACCGGGGTGGAGATGGGCTTGCAGTGAAGCATGTCAGCCCGCTCAAGTATCTCGTGTGCAAACTGAGTCTGGTGTAGAAAAAGGCCTCCAGCCGTGCGCTGAACACTGATCCCGAGGAAAAAATTGAGATCCCTCATATCTGTCATGGCAAACTCCCCTTTAAGCTTCTGAGTGAGGTATGTGAGAAGGGCGGTGGAGGAAGCTGTGAGGACAATGTCGTCCACATAAAGCAGAAGATAGGCCATATCGGCTCCTTGAGAGAAGACAAAGAGAGATGTGTCGCTCTTGCATCCGTGGAACCCCAAAGTAAGAAGAAAACCTGCAAATCGCTGGTACCAGGAGCGGGGGGCTTGCTTAAGGCCATAGAGGGCCTTCTTCAACCGGCAAACATAATTCGGCCGGGCTGGATCCTGAAAGCCGGATGGCTGGCTAGCATAGACTGTCTCGTGAAGGGTGCCATGTAGAAAGGCATTCTTGACATCCAGCTGATGGATAGGCCACCCTCAGCTCAGTGCAAGTGTGAGAACGATGCGTACCGTGGCAGGTTTGACAATCGGGCTGAAAGTCTCGTCATAGTCGATACCAAAGCGCTGATTGAATCCACGAACCACCCAACGAGCTTTGTACCTGGACAGTTCACCTGTAGGGCCGAATTTGTGGCGAAAAGCCACTTGCCGGTGATAACATTTTGGGTGGGGGAGGGGGGCACTAATTCCCATGTTTCGTTTGTAATCAAAGCATTAAATTCATCACACATAGCATTATACCAGTTTTGATCCTTAAGTGCACTACGATAGGTGGGTGGGAGAGGGGATATGTGGGCCATGGAGTTAAGGTTGAGGATGTGTCGGGGTTTGGATATGCCGACTTTGGATCGGGTTACCATGGGGTGAGTAGTGGGGAGAGTGGG